TTCTTCTGCCACCGCCATTCGTCCATTTCTCATATCCTCGTTTGTTAATCTTACTTTGCTCTCGTGTTCTTTCTTTCTCACCTTAAACAACCTCGACGTTTCTCCTACATACACCGCTTTCTTGCACTTGCATGGGATCTCGTAAACAACAGATTTTTGTTTTTCGCCAAGTGGTTGTTGAGCTCTCGCCTTCAATTCCTTTATTTTATTTCCTGGTTTAAATGTCGTCCGAAATGAATGTTTGGAAGCTAATCTTTTTAGTTGTTCCGATAAGCCCTGGATGTAAGGTACAATTATCATTCCTCTATACTCTTGCTCTTCCGACTCATTCCTTTCGCGTTTATCCTCTCGCATGTATTCTCGAACCCTCTGTCTTTCGAAACCATTTGCCACAAACACATCTTCTACGTTCTTCAGTTCTCCCTCTAGGTAGCGCGAGCGTTATGTGATGAGAAACACCTAGAGGGAGAACTGAAGAACGTAGAAGATGTGTTTGTGGCAAATGGTTTCGAAAGACAGAGGGTTCGAGAATACATGCGAGAGGATAAACGCGAAAGAAATGAGTCGGAAGAGCAAGAGTATAGAGGAATGATAATTGTACCTTACATCCAGGGCTTATCGGAACAACTAAAAAAATTAGCTTCCAAACATTCATTTCGGACGACATTTAAACCAGGAAATAAAATAAAGGAATTGAAGGCGAGAGCTCAACAACCACTTGGCGAAAAACAAAAATCTATTGTTTACGAGATCCCATGCAAGTGCAAGAAAGCGATGTATGTAGGAGAAACGTCAAGGTTGTTTAAGGTGAGAAAGAAAGAACACGAGAGCAAAGTAAGATTAACAAACGAGGATATGAGAAATGGACGAATAGCGGTGGCAGAAGAACGAATGGGGAAAGAAGACGGAGGTTTAGCAAGGCGCAGTATAGAGTGTACGGAAGAAATAGACTGGGAGAACACGCGAATATTGAGAAATGAGTATAGATTAAGATAGCGGAAAGTTATAGAAGGAATTGAGTCTCTTAGGGTAAGGCATCACAAAAAGAAAGTTTTAAACAGTTTTGAATCATTGATGACTTGGAGACCAATATTAAACAAATACTTTATTAAGGAAAACGAGCGCGCGCGTGCGCGCAAGCAGTTTAATTTAAATTAGCTTGCGTAAGATGAACGTTTAAAAGTTGTACACGTCAAATGTAAGAACAATTTGTTAGCCTGAGGACGGATAGTAAACTATCCGAAACGTAGCTAAAATAAAAGTATTATCAAAAACCTCTTGTGTGATCCTTGATTTAAATTAAAAACACAAAATTATTTACCATTTTTATTTTTCAGCATAATCAGCAATATGATACCTTACTTCCCATCCCCTCCAGCGCGCATAAATTAAAAGCTGGAATTGCCTATTACACAACAGTACTGTTTGTTATCGTCAGCAGTATGGGAATACGCTGTCCACATGGTGCTGAATCAATGTCAGAAATCCATGGACTCTGGTTAAATGTATTAGCGCTCCTCCAACCACAATGCCACTGGGATGCTCGATTGACACATTCGTGCAGAAATACAAAAACAATGCAGGATAGTCAATTCACGTATACGATGAGCAGGCAGTTCGCAGTTAGCCAGGCCGTCGTTCAACCGTCCTATAGTAGTATAGACGGCCACTTTTGAATTTAGGCGACCACATTTTAATTTTTAATAGGCGATGATGGACCTATGAAAATGTTTTGCTTTAAACAGCTCCTCGAAAGCTTCGTGATACTTTTTGAATACCTCAAAAGTTGTCAGCTGCTGTTTGCATATACGTTTCGATACTTTTTGACTAAAAGACGCTAAAATATGAGTATACGACGGTTGATTTCAAGCGCCATGTTTTTATCATGTCCACAAAAATAGGTTGACATCGACATACGGTATATTTTGGACGGCCGATTTTGACAGCCTGGCTAAAAGTTTGACGTATAATTGTAGAACCACGTAGGCTAATTAACCAAGGCAGAATTTACAGTGTTCCTTATTCCACAGTAATGCAGGGATGGTGACTTGGGAAGTTAAAATCGACTCGAACCACTTGCTGAAAATTTAATTTGAAATTATCTCGACTGATAATCGAACACAAGGGCTCTATATTACGACACCCGACAATGATAATTTTTATACTGACATTGAAATGAACTGACATTCAAAACTGATAAATGTTTCGTATAGGTAACATGTACTTACCAATCATCAACAAAGCAGTCTGAGAAACCAAATGATGAGATGGAATCTTAGGAAACATGGCCAGTATTGCAGGTAGATATGTATCTTCCGTGGCCTCTACATAACCTGACACAGACTGGATCAAATAAAGGATTGACTCGATCACCTAAGAGAAGCCACAAACGTTTGAAGAATGTTGAAATGAAAATGGCAAAGTCAGACACTCCTGTGGTCAGACAATAGTTATTGGTGATATTTCCAACTGCCAGAATGGATTTTTAGACCTTTTTCAAAAAATTCTCCCGGACCCTACGGTAGCTCTGCATTAGCTACTTGCAAACAACACATGGCTACATGCTTTAAAGAAAACCAGGTCTTTATATTATACATATAGAAATACAATTACCTGCCACGAAGTCTCAGAATCCGATAACGCCTGAGACAGTTTTTGATGAAGAATATTGAGACATTGTTCTCGAAGAAGACGATAAGTATGCATCTGTAAGCACAGAGATAAAACAGCAAGTAATTTTACAGTATTAGTAACTTTATAGTACTACAATACTTCAATTGTTCTTATAATTCAAACAATTTTTATTCAAATCCAATTCATGTCTGAGTGCGTACTCTCTATATTTATATAGATTTGGATTATTTAGATTTGGATTGACATCGGGACTACAGGTATCAGGACCTTGTATTTTGGTTTGAAAGCATTCCCAATGCAAATGTATCACTTAAAAATCGCCCGAGTGCATAATAAATCAGAAAACTATTTAGGACACACAACCTTAACAAAATAATTCAAAAACACAATCTTAAACGTTCATTACCATGGTGTCCGCAACGTCTTGTCGGTAGCAGCGAAACTGTTCTCTTTCCTCTAAATGAAGAGATATCTGTGCGTTTAAGTTGATGTTCTCAATTGAACTTAACTTCTTGGCGTCCGAAAACGTTGTCCGGTGAAAGATCGCCTAGCGTTAATCCTGGATGAAAATTGTGATCCAAAATACAGGTTCCAAATGGGTATGCTACAATAAGCTCCCGTGGTTTTGGGTCTGAACTACTGGAAAAAGTTGTCTACTCTCAGCTTTTCCCAGTGAATCAATCCTGGACGAACAACCCTAAAAGTGTGTAGTCTCAACATTTCGACACTTTCCCCCCATGCATGCATGTGCAAAAAATCTTTGCTATACATTGCGACGATTGCCAACATTAATAACCCTAATATGAGGCTACACAGCTACTTGCAACACAATGTATGCATATACATGTGCTTAAACCAAACCAAACCAAAGCATTTTTCTGCGCTTTTTATCCTACTTGCTCTTCAAACATTGGTTATATTTTCGCGTTAGTTCTTTACCCCTTCCCCCTTTACGTGAGTTATTCGTAAAGGAAAAAAGTTTCGAAATTTTGGGACAGCCCCTAAGACCCCTTCGTCAGAGGTTAGTAGAAAGCTTTAGATGTTATTACGACTATATGATTACCAGATTTGGAAACGCCATCTTTTTACGTCATTATATATGCATGTACAGTATACTGACGCTTTATATATCTTGCAGCCGTGGCCAAATTGGCAACGCAATTATTGAAAAGTCACGAAGTAAAACAAGCGTTTACTAAGAGATTATGGCGTGCGAAAGTAATGACGTAAGATGGCGAGCATGTGCGAACAACGAATCTCGTAGTCGTACTCGCCCCATAGTAAAACCTAAAGCTCCCTATATATAGTACCGCTGCCGACGAAGGGCAATCGCTCGTTGTTGTTTTCAACCATTACACGAACAGTACAAAAGGTGTTCAAGGTCCCCCATTACAATCATATTCCAATCATTTGAAAATCAATAAATTACCTGCATTATAACCCGACCATTCAGAATCGGGAGGATATTGTGCTTTCTTTAGTAATACCTCAAGATTAAGAATCAACATAATCACAATCAGTCATAATTCAAGAAATATTCATCCATGAATCATTAATTCTCGATCAATACCATGAAATAAGATGTTGGGTCAAATTGCATATTTATACTCTCCTTTAACTACTCGGGTCCAATCCAAACTATTCTTATAAATGTTTGTAATCCTAATCGTAAAAGTACAACACTAACCCTAATCCCTATCATAACCAAACTTTCAACGCAATCCCACTTTGGGGACTGGGGATTTTCTTGGTTAGCAGCGGGCTCATATATAGACATAGTTAGGCGTAAGGAAAGACGGCCAAGTTTCCAACGACAACTCCAACACGTAGAAATATAAAGAATGCTTTCTTGGAATACTTACTTGTGTTAGTCCAATATAAAATGATCCGTAGTTCTGTTTGTATTGTGCCGCAACATCTGGTTCTGCGTACTCGAATTCGTCCTGCAATTTTACGATTTTTTAACGATTTTTTCTATATATATTTATGAACCATTCAGACAGATATAAAAAACTAGTTAGACTCGGTACAAATCCCCGTTGACTCGATCGCTTAATGGGTATAGAGCGGCGGTATTGTATTGTATTTTGTACGGTCTAGAAATACGAAGACGCGAGTTCGAATCCCTCTCAAGAAATCGAATTTTTCGTTGTACTATGCATGCAGTGT